CCCCCCCCCCCCCCCCCCCCCGTCTCACCTAATACCACCACAAGGTCGGCCCCCAGTTGCCTCTGAATCTCGATAGACCGCTCAGGGGTGAGAGACTTGATGGAGCAGTCGTAGTAGCTCTTGAATCGCGCACCCTTTTCGGAAATGCTGACCAGAGAAGGCGCTGCCCACGATACCAACAGCAGCAACAATAACAACAACAACAACAACAACCACGAAATTTACGACAGGACAAAGGAGCGGGGGCCAACGCAGTACTGCAGCTAACAAACAAGGGAAGGGGATGGAGCGGGGGAGCTTACACGGAGGTTCAAGAATGTTTCGCCACCAATATCGACAAGAGCAATACCACCAGCTCCACCACCCCCACCAACCACAACTCTTTCCTCCTCGAGGCGGCAACGGTAAGGCACTCTCGTGCACAAGAACGGAGGGAGAGAGAGGGCCGGCCGCAGCAGCAGTCACGACTCCGCCGTCTCTCACTCACCAAACTCCGCGCCTCCTTCCGCGCCGCGCCGGCCCTTGATCTCATTTCCCACGGACCCGTGCCCCATGCTGAAGATCTGGTACCCCCCGGAGTCGGTAAGCATAGGTCCCTCCCAGCGGGTTGCCTTCTGCAGGCCCCCCATCTGTTTCGAGTCGTCACGTTGGCCAATTTTCATGTTTGTCGTTCATTCGTGCGCAACCCGGGTTGCAACGCGCCTGCAAGGCTGGGCGTCTATACACATGCAACGCGGAAAGGAGGCAGGCAAGGTCGGTCAACGCCTGTCGACAACGCCCCTCTCCATTTTAGTGCCAATAAAAAAGAAATATATATATATACATATACTTGTTGTAAATGTAATACCAAGTAAAAGTATATGGCAGTGAACGCGTGACGTGACCGGCCATCGAGTTCGAAAGGGGAGCAAGGAACAGCGGGGTTCTCGGCGAACAAGGCATTTGTGTCTCATCACGTGTAGCTCCTCTCCTCTACATATGCAGATGGGCGTTACCCTTTGTGGGATTTAATTCGAACGTCAACCCCAACAAGCCCAGACCAAGACACGGAAGTGCAGGTGGTATACAAATACAAGGCTCGCCTCCAGGAGTTAGGTGGCTTGCCTCCCGGGGGCGACGCAAGAGGACATGGTCAACGTCATCGCGGTCGCATCGTTGCATTTGTGCCAGCCCTCCGAGGGGATGGATGGGTTTCACGGTAGGATCTCACATTGAGGCATCATATGGCAGTCTGAGAGCCGCTGCATTTGGGGCCCTGATTTGGTCCCTGTGAAAGCCTTCCTAAGTGGATGGGTTTCTGACCACGTACCTACCTTTTCGATCATCTCGCCCCCGGGCTGGACGAGGAGGTGGTAGGTGTTGCTCAAGATTATCTGGCTGCCGCATTCCTTCATCTGCCACCAGAGTCAAACACGGACAGCAACAACAACAGCAGCAGCAGTGGCAGCGATGGCATCAGGAGGGACACATAAAGAAGACCATGTCGAGGCTATGGACGGCCCCATTGTTGAGGCAGGGTGCAGGGGGAGGGGGGACAAGGGCCTAGAGCAATTCCCACGAGATCATTAAAACGACAACAAAAGCATGAACAGGAAAGAGGTATAACGAACATATTACTACGCACCAAAGGAGCTCGCAAGCACACACTCTTGAAGGCAACAACACAAGAGAACAACAAGAGACGAAAAATGTTCAGACAAAAGTCCTGACTCATGACTCAGAAATCGGGAGACACGGATGACTCATCGCCAAACGAACACACACGCTCGGCCTTCTAGTCAGTTATCCCTATTCCTCACAGTCTCAGCGGAGAGCCCCTTGATTGCCGCCTTCGTCGCGCAGAAGATGAACGCCGGGGTCTGAAGAGTTCAACACCAACAGCAGCAGCAGCAGCAGCAGCAGCAAAACGCCGACGGCAAAACGGGGACGCCTCAAGCCTGAACCACTCTCAGGATAGCAACCCAACCGCGCTCCAAGCTGTCTGAATGGAACTAGTACGCACCACCGACGACACCCAAAGCCACATCGCACACGTTCACGTCAACGCTTGAACTCTGCGGCCGGCCACCATGCACGCTTTGTCTTAGCTGTCTAGGAAATCGATTCTACAACAGCATAGACGTTGCATAGCAACACGTATCCTGCGTCTCCCCCGTAGCCTGCAGCCCCAACTCGAGCAACGTTTCTTCGCATCATGGGTCAAAAGTTAGGACAGACAAGGGCTCGGACGCGGGGGGCTACCGCCCCCCCCGTCCTTCGTTTGCGCCGCCGCCCTTCGTGGAGAGCGAAACGTCATGTGAGGTACAAGTAAGCGCAAAACGCATACCAAGTGGGACGTTCTTGAGTTGGTCAGGATGTGGTTGTTTAATTTACCGCACAACAGAAAACAAGTGGAGCGGAGCAGGCCGTGGCGGCAGTTGTCGCGGTCCGGGCAGGGCCAGCCCTCTTCATCCAGTGACAGCAGGCGACGGGGCTTGACGTGTGACGTTGACTCTCCGGCTTGTTTGCGTTTCAGAGGCGATGCCCTCGAGAGAGCGTTCATTCTTTTATCTTTTCGTGGTTGGTTTCGGCTGTGAGGAGGGTGGGCAAGCGCGCGTGGTGCGTGGACGACTTCGCTGTGTGCTCGTTCTATGATTTAGGAAATTCAGAGTGAGTTGAAAATTTGATTGTCCAACGAAAATTGATGTGCACGACACAACACATAAAACATAATTCCACCGAATCACATATATCTTCGCTCAAAAACTCCGAAACACCACACATGTTTTGATTGTCCAACGAAAATTGATGTGACACGACACCACACATAAAATGTGTGGTTCCACCGAATCAAATATATCTTCGCTCAAAAACTCCGAAACGCCACACATATATATGTCGTGTTATCATCGCTCTTCTTCGCGTTGTCGGTGGAAATAGTGTGAGGATGCGTGTGGTGAGTGGAACAAAGATTACGCACAGCAAGCAAGCATAGATTTGCGGTTCATGCAAACTGTATTGAAGACACGCAGCACACAGACATCAACCGCTCTATGCAACAAACCCCGACACGAAATATATGTCCACAAAGACGGTTTCCGGCGGCGGGCTGACGGTGCCCGAGAATATTTTCGTCTCGGTTGTAGAGTAGGGCTAATTCCCCCGCTGCGCCGTCAGGCGTCGAGCTTGAGCTTGAGTGAATAATACATGCCTCTATTCTATATACGTGGACGTACCTGAACAAGTCCGTGTGGTGTGCTCACAGTCCCCGTTCTTGCCTTTGTTCCCTCTTGGCACTCGCTTTCCACGGTGAAAGAAAAGTTCGGGTAGCTGCGATGCATGCATGTTTGGTGCGGAGGGGGGGGGGGGGGGGGGGGGCCCGAAAAGGTAAAAGGTTTTCACCCCCACACCCCCCAAAAAGGGGGAAAAAAAACCAAAAAAAATAAACGAAAAGGGCCCCCTAAGGGGGGGGGGGACAGGGTAAAAATCCCCCCCCAAGGCCCCCCCGGAGGTAATCTGAAAACCGGGTGTTGGCCCTTGAAAAAAACCCAAAAAACCTGGGCCCCCACCCCCCCCCCGGGGCAAAATTGGGAATTCCCCCAAAAACCCTTCCCCCAAAACCCAAAAATTTTTTTGGAAAAACCCAAATTCTTTTTGGGCAGAAT